CAATGAACAACAACAAAAACTCAACACGCTTGTCAATACCTATTAGCGCGGTGCCTTTTTGAATACTGTCCCTCCTGTGCTATGAAGTTAGGGCCATTACCTGAAACGTTGCCTATCTATTACAGTGAGGGAAAAAAGTATTTGATCCCCTGCTAATTTTGTACGTTTGCCCACTGACGAAGAAATGATCAGTCTAGAATTTTAATGGTAGGTTTATTTGAACAGTGAGAGATAGAATAACAACAAAATCCAGAAAAACGCATGTCAAAAATGTTATAAATTGATTTGCATTTTAATGAGGGAAATAAGTATTTGACCCCTCTGCAAAACATGACTTAGTACTTGGTGGCAAAACCCTTGTTGGCAATCACAGAGGTCAGACGTTTCTTGTAGTTGGCCACCAGGTTTGCACACATCTCAGGAGGGATTTTGTCCCACTCCTCTTTGCAGATCTTCTCCAAGTCATTAAGGTTTCAAGGCTGACGTTTGGCAACTCGAACCCTCAGCTCCCTCCACAGATTTTCTATGGGATTAAGGTCTGGAGACTGGCTAGGCCACTCCAGGACCTTAATGTGCTTCTTCTTGTGCCACTCCTTTGTTGCCTTGGCCATGTGTTTTGGATCATTGTCATGCTGGAATACCCATCCACGACCCATTTTCAATGCCCTGGCTGAGGGAAGGAGGTTCTCACCCAAGATTTGACGGTACATGAACCCGTCCATCGTCCCTTTGATGCGGTGAAGTTGTCCTGTCCCCTTAGCAGAAAAACACCCCCAAAGCATAATGTTTCCACCTCCATGTTTGACGGTGGGGATGGTGTTCTTGCGGTCATAGGCAGCATTCCTCCTCCTCCAAACACGGCGAGTTGAGTTGATGCCAAAGAGCTCTATTTTGGTCTCATCTGACCACAACACTTTAACCCAGTTGTCCTCTGAATCATTCAGATGTTCATTGGCAAACTTCAGACGGGCATGTATATGTGCTTTCTTGAGCAGGGGGATCTTGCGGGCGCTGCAGGATTTCAGTCCTTCAGGGCGTAGTGTGTTACCAATTGTTTTCTTGGTGACTATGGTCCCAGCTGTCTTGAGATCATTGACAAGATCCTCCCGTGTAGTTCTGGGCTGATTCCTCACCGTTCTCATGATCATTGCAACTCCACGAGGTGAGATCTTGCATGGAGCCCCAGGCCGAGGGAGATTGACAGTTCTTTTGTGTTCTTCCATTTGCGAGTAATCGCGCCAACTGTTGTCACCTTCTCACCAAGCTACTTGGCAATGGTCTTGTAGCCCATTCCAGCCTTGTGTAGGTCCCTGATATTCTTGGAGAGCTCTTTGGTCTTTGCCATGGTGGAGAGTTTGGAATCTGATTGATTGCTTCTGTGGACAGGTGTGTTTTATACAGGTAACAAGCTGAGATTAGGAGCACTCCCTTTAAGAGTGTGCTCCTAATCTCAGCTCGTTACCTGTATAAAAGACACCTGGGAGCCAGAAATGTTTCTGATTGAGAGAGGGTCAAATACTTATTTCTCTCATTAAAATGCAAAACAATTTTTGACATGTGTTTTTCTGGATTTTTTTGTTGCTATTCTGTCTGTCACTGTTCAAATAAACCTACCATTAAAATTATAGACTGATCATTTCTTTGTCAATGGGCAAACGTACAAAATCAGCAGGGGATCAAATACTTTTTTCCCTCACTATATATTTTTCTTCTTTGGTTCTTTCGGTAAAGTCACGTAGAATGAGAATAAAATAATAAATTGATAAAATAAATAACACAATAATATTCTCACGACGTTTCGGCCACAACACAAGCGGCCTTCATCAGGTGAAGGGACGAGACTGTCTGGTAAGACAGCGCTGGAGTGAAAAAGCCACGTTCAGATCACGACCTTTAAGCTGTGTGAGAGGAAACAAAGCGCCTTGACAAAGGAATTAGCATATAATTTAGCATTGAAATGGCTGAGTGATTAGCTTGTGACTGGTCACAGAAATGGCTATGTTAAAAGTTAAAGCATACACATCCGCAGAGGCACCCCTTGACAAAGGAATTAGCATAGAATTTAGCATTGAAATAGCTAAGTTAAAGCATACACATCCGCAGAGGCACCCCTTGACAAAGGAATTAGCATAGAATTTAGCATTGAAATAGCTGAGTGATTAGCTTGTAACTGGTCACAGAAATAGCTATGTTAAAGTCAGAGCATACACATTCACCGAGGCACTTAGTACAAATCAAACAGGAGAATTTAGCATTGAAATAACTAGGCGAATTTAGCATTGAAATAACTGAGTGATTAGCTAGTGACTGGTCACAGAAATGGCTATGTTGAAGTCAAGGCCTACACATCTGAGCTATTCACAGTACTAAATAGTGAACCAATAAAAAACTAAAATATAAATTACCTTAATGTTATCAATAAACTCTATATTCTCCAATCAGCTAAGCTACCAACAATAAGTCGTTATATATCACAATGCTATATGGCGAAAAAATGGGTGGATTCTTACCCTCAACTTTAGCAACACGGATAGCTACGGGCCCCGTTCAGACGGACGAGTTCATCCATGGTCGGAACAGAGGAGGGGGAGAGAGACAGCTGCGAGGCGCTATTATACTCCATGTTGTAAACCATACCATTAACCGTGGTGTGAGAGGTATTAAAGTCAATGCTGGCGAAAGAGCTGCGGTCTGAAGGTCATCGTAAAATACAATTAATTAAGAACAGAAATGGTTTAAAACATCTTTCCAATGGTTACTAAGCCAGAATCCATCTTCTCGGTTGAAATTGTCTCTGTGCTTGTATATGTGAATGGCCTCATGAACGAATCTCTCAAGGTAGCCGGTTGGTTTGCAAAGAACCTCCGTCTTGGAGAAGTCAATGTCATGTGAGCCCACTGAATTATAACAGTGATCTGCCACGGCAGAGGAGTTCGTTCTACCGTGTTTCAAGTCTGCTTTATGTTCGCAGATGCGGTCCGAGATATGTCGTTTGGTTTCTCCAATGTAGCTACTACCACAAAGGCACTTTAGTTTGTAAACGCCCGGGTACTGTATGTCTGGAACAGCATCTTTTACAGATGGAACTAAATCACGGATTTTATGTACTGTGTTGAATCGGACCTGGATCTTGTGTTTATTCAGGATTTTGGAGATCTTTTAGTGACCCCTGCAATGTATTGCAATTATTGTTGGTAGCTTAGCTGAATGGAGAATATAGAGTTTATTGATAACATTAAGGTAATTTATATTTTAGTTTTTTATTGGTTCACTATATAGCACTGTGAATAGCTCAGATGTGTAGGCCTTGACTTCAACATAGCCATTTCTGTGACCAGTCACTAGCTAATCACTCAGTTATTTCAATGCTAAATTCGCCTAGTTATTTCAATGCTAAATTCTCCTGTTTGATTTGTACTAAGTGCCTCGGTGAATGTGTATGCTCTGACTTTAACATAGCTATTTCTGTGACCAATTACAAGCTAATCACTCAGCTATTTCAATGCTAAATTCTATGCTAATTCCTTTGTCAAGGGGTGCCTCTGCGGATGTGTATGCTTTAACTTAGCTATTTCAATGCTAAATTCTATGCTAATTCCTTTGTCAAGGGGTGCCTCTGCGGATGTGTATGCTTTAACTTTTAACATAGCCATTTTTGTGACCAGTCACAAGCTAATCACTCAGCCATTTCAATGCTAAATTATATGCTAATTCCTTTGTCAAGGCGCTTTGTTTCCTCTCACACAGCTTAAAGGTCGTGATCTGAACATGGCCTTTTCACTCCAGCGCTGTCCTACCAGACAGTCTCGTCCCTTCACCTGATGAAGGCCGCTTGTGTTGTGGCCGAAACGTCGTGAGAATATTATTGTGTTATTTTATTTTATTAATTTATTATTTTATTCTCATTCTACGTGACTTTACCGAAAGAACCAAAGAAGATGAATCATTGCAGTCACGAAAGCTTTAAATCGAAATATATATTTTTTCCTTTTCAAGCCACACAGTGTTATAGACACACATGTTGAATTCTCTTTTATTTGTGTTTTTCTTCTATTCGGAGATAGTTTCAGTGGAAATAAAAATGCACTTGTGAATTGTCGGCAGTGTATTTGTTTACGGAATTTAATCAGTAACTTGGCTGCGACCGTCAAGCTCGCTGCCCATGTGATGCTGCCCCCTTGCTGAGCTTGTGCATTCTTTCAAAAAAAAAACCGAAGAGACTCGCGTTGGCAGGAGTATCCAAGCATAAACCAAAAACCTCACCGCATTCATTTTGAACATTGCTTTGCAACCAAAATAAAATGCGGCAAAGTGGGCGAATGCTTTGGAGAGTCGCCCTGCTTGTCTTGACTCAGTGCTGCTGAATGTATGCACTCCCAGAAGGCCGTGCAGCTGACGGGTCATGTAAGAGATACTTTTGTTTTTGTTGTTATGTGGAGAGACCGATACAAAAAGGAGACGTGGTGTCCGCTTATTTCAGTGCTCGAAAGAAGATCCACTACTTTTCTGTCATCAGGGATTAGAAATAGCAAATGTTATTAATTCTCTGTTTTTAACATAATAATTTTTCGGATCATTTTCTCTGGCCTAACGAAACTATTGAACTGCTTTTCCAACTATTTTTTTATTTGACCAGGTAAGGCCCACTGAGCTATGTAGCTCTTTTTCAGAAGTGACCTGGCCACGAAGTGGCTTATGTGAAAATGTATAACAGCCATATACTCTAAATGCCCCTCCCCCCCTCCAACGACACACTGCTCACGAAAGTGCCCCTGCCGTGTTCGTCAGCATGGGTTTCCCTCCCGTTGCGAATGAATGCCCAGTGATTAATTCCCGCCTTTGTTATTTTAATTCAGGAGTGAACAATGGTGCGTAAAGATTTTCTCATGTTTTTTTTTTATTTAACTGTAACAGCGGGGGTTTTGATGTGAAGCGACGGTGCCTCTTTGCTTTGCCTGGTTCTGAACCGTCCCTCTTTTCCTTTGCTGCCTGACCCAAAGATGTCGCAGAGAAACTGCCTAAAGGTCAGTACGCCTTCCTTCACCTGCCATTCCTAGCGGGCTGTATTTTTTTTTTACTTCACGTCGAGCGCGCTACGTGCTAATTCGCTCTGCGCGGTCGGTCGCGGTTGGGTGCACGACCCCCAGGCATCCCCCCCCCCGAGATGCTGCAAGCCGGCCGGATCGGTCGGCCCATGTAAAATATCCACGAGCGACTCTCGGGGACCAGACGTGGCATTCTACGGCACGATTCGTCTCCGTGCGTGAATCCCATTCGTAGCATCTTGGGCGTGGTGCTGTCCATGCCCCACCCCCTCGTGTGCCGTGCCAGCCATCGTGGGGTGCTCACCAACAGCACTTGCCCTGATAGTCTGTTAAGGCTGTACAGGGGACCTTTGTCTATATATATGCAGTACGATTGTGGCTTTGACTAAATCACCTGCAATGCAACCCGATCTCGGAAGCTAAGCAGATTTTGAGCCTGGATAGCTCTCGGATGGGCGACGGGTTGGCTGCAGGCAACTGCGATCCCATACGGTGGGCATTGCAGCAAAATCCATATCTGCGTTGCACTCCCTGTCTTCATCAATCCGCACCGACCGGCATGGTGAAAAATGGTCTAATTAACCCCCGTGACCCCAAGGGAGACTGTCCAAAGGGCCGTACACGTACGTAGCCAACGGATGAGCGCGGTTGGCTACGTACGGTGCAAAAGAAGTTCAACATGCATACATAATACACACACCTACCGCACACACAATCTCCTGCGGGCGTCATGCGTCGTAAAGTTCACTGCAGGTGGAGCAGTGGGCACAGCGGTTTAACGCTCTGTGCCGTGAACCCCGCGTGACCCGAGTTCACATCCCGAACCGGTCACGGAGGATCTTCCAATTCACCAATCCCCTCGCATTGACCAACAGGGTGAAGTATGGTCAAACAACACCGCACCACCACCCCCGCCCCCACACGAGACCAATGCGGTGTTGTGAGGAGACCCTCGTCGAGCAGCGGATCAGCGGCAAGGCTGTACAATATTTTACGATTGGGATTTTAACGTGCCAGGAAAGAAACTCGCAAGGCACGGGCTTTTGAATGCTTTGCGCGAGTGTGCATTTTCTACACGCGCTACTGCCCGCGTGCGTGCGTGCGTACATCTCACGCTCGCCAACCTCCCCCCCCCCCCCCCCCCCACCCTTTGTCGACTTCAGCGGTAGGCTGCCGAATTTTTTTTTCCCTTTGACGTTTGCCGTTTGACCGCTAACCGATTTTTTTTTGTTTTACCAAGGCAACAAAATGGAAAGAGACCGACGCTCCTTGCACGCTACGATGCGGCGCGATGACGCTTAGCGAAAATTGGTACGCCGTTATGTTTTAAAAAAAATGGTTTTCAATTCAATTGCCAGCCTACCGCTGAAAACGGCAGAGTTGGCAAGTGTGATCTATATATGACCCTAAATCAGTGGAACCCACAGGGTGGGTCTGCAGCTTAACATACTGTCCCTGTAATTGTGTGCAGAAGACTTCTTCTTTAGGGCGCTCTGCCATGCCAGCGGCAGGTGATGGAGTGTAAGTAATCTGCTGGGTTAAAGGATTAAGGTCAGGGGGGACCCCCCTTGTGGTGTGACCCTTAGTGAGAGTAAACAAGGATCGGTAGTTGTTCTTACTTCAGATGTAACTGCGCATACAAGGGGGTGGGTGGCCAGCACCACGCTTGGCCGCCTTTGTCTCCCTCGCAGCGATGTTTCCACACCACACCAGGTACATAGTCGACCTGGGGGAGGACCAGGACCCGTTCTGATAATCGTCACTGCTGTCGGTGGCCGCGAGCAGGAATCAAACCCGGCTCGCCGGGTTCGCAACGCGGCACCGCCAACTGCTGCGCCACTGCTCCCCACGGCACGCACACGCACGCAAGCACACACGCACGCATTGCACACACAACACCCGTACCCCGGTGTAACGTCCTGAGCTCAACTCCTGCCGCTGCTTTCCTCTGCGCCGCTCTCCCGCCCCCCTTGCCTCGCGCACCTCGATGATTCTAGCGGCTTTATTGATCGTCGCTCCCCCTCCGTGTAGATGAATGAATTGGTGGGGGGGGGGGTGCCAGGCTGTTTCAAAATTTGTAAGCCCTGAGCGCTGCTTGGGATGTTGAAAGGAAACTCGCGTTGGGGGAGGGGGCGGAGACGATCTTATCCCTTTCCCAACGGACGAAGTGCACGTCGTCGGTTTTTTTTCTTGCGATTGTGTTCCGACGGCGTGCATGTCTGTCATCAAAACGAAACCGGAAGGGAAAAATCAAATGAAATATCATTACCGGTACCGAACAGGCGGGGAAGGGAGACTTGTTCCCAATCCGGTCTCCGAGACTCTGCGAAGAGCACCATTTGCACATCGGAGGATCCCGGTAACGACGATGATGACAACCACTGTAGCACCCTTACATGGCGAGCCATTACGAGGGCACTGAAAGATAGTGCTGTCACCGTATTCGAGGCCAATGCAATTACCCTATTTTAAGTATATTTAGAGTGTGCAAGTACAGTGGGCGTATGTTTGAACATTGTTATTGTACGTTAAGTGGCGAGACTCTTTAAGCATTACTACGATATGTAATCGTCGTTTGAAATCGATTATTACGCTCGTGATGCTGATATCAATCAAATCGTGGTGTTAAAATAGATTACATTTTTTTTATTTGCTTGCTTCAATTCATTTTTGCCACTGAAGAATTGGGCCACGTTCACTTTTGCACTACAATAGAAAATATAGCAGAATAAAATAACAAAACAATGATTATCGACTTGACGTGATTATGAATCTCGTAACAGTCCACGGAACCACATGAGGAGTGGGGTGGCAGGGGGGAATAGTGATTCCAGGCCAGAAGAGAAATTACGACAATGATGTATGTATGTTGAACTTCTTTCGCACCGTACGTAGCCAACTGTGCTAATCGGGGGGTGCGGGCGGTGAAGGACAACAAACTAAACACAACAAACAGTTATAAAGAATGAAGATGGTAAATTGACCATTTTCATAATACTAATAATTATTAACATGTATAACTTGGCGCATTTCATCTATAGATCCCAATGCACCACCATGTATGGCAAGCAGGAGACCAACAGAACCTGCAGGGTACAGATCTTGGCGGGGATTAAATGCCAATTTACCCACTCACTCAATCCACTCGCTCAGAACCTGCAGGGTACACGGCCGGAACTGTGGGGGTAATGGCCAATTTAAAGAGGCGAGTTTTCAAGCTAGGACTTAAATACATCTAACGACTCTCTCATTAGCAAAGCGTTCCAAATCCTGGGAGCTTCGTAGTGGCAAAAGCCCCGATCACCTCAGGAAATGAGCCTTGATCTCTGAATACTGAGAAGGAAGCGTAAATCTTTTATCCACCAACAGATAAGTAATGTTCCCTGTTGTGCAGTGTTTAGTGTCAGTGATATTGATTGGCTAACTTTTAGAATCAGAATATCTATTGAGACTGGAGGAATCCGATGAGCTATAAAGCTCTTTTAACAGATGTCTGGTAGGGGCGGGTTAGAACGTTACAACAACAAACAATACAAAAACTCGATCGGAGTGAAAAGTACAGGAAAGGTAAACAGATTACACAAAAAAAATTACAAAACTAAACAATTTGTTTATTTTACCAGGTAAAGCCCACTGAGCTATTAGCTTTTTCAGAAGCGAAACTTGGCCAAAGTGGCTTATAACGTGGATATTTATCGCAGTCAAATAATCTAAACGATCAAAGTACGTGTTTCTAAATGTGCGGGGTAAAACCAGAGGACCCGGGGAAAAAAAAATCCACGAGATCATGGGGATAGAGAGAGAGACACGCAGACTCAAAATATACAGCAGGCGTCTTTGTGAGGCTTGGTCAAGCTCCTGGGCGCTGGTGACTACGTACGTGGCCTGTACTTCAGCACTGTGAAGGCAGTGAGGGTTTGGTTGGTGTGCTTGCGCACAAATTTATGAAAAACTCCCCAACTACCTGTGGGCACTGAGGTCGCCACATCTCCCAGCTTGCCAGGGTATGATGGTAGTACAGCAAGTGGGTTAAATACCACCATCTGTACACGCATTGAACATTACCTCGCACGCATGGGTTCTCTCTCTCTCTCTGCTTTCCTCCCACGTTTAATGAATAATTTATGGTGTTGGCCAAACATCTCAATATAGGACCACAGAGCATGGCCATGGTTGATATCCGTTCTGGCTGCCATTTCCACTTGTCTGTGGATTCCCTCACCTCTGTATCACACTCTCTCTCTCTCTGGGAGATTAAACATTGTACACGTTGCAAATTCCACATTATTTATTTGTGTTTCATGTTCCAATCCAAGGTTTCCCTTGGTGTGCACTCCAAAGTAAATCTGTGTGTGAACAGCTATGTAGTTTAACACGTAGGCTTTCGTGATCAATATCATCCAGAACAGGTTTTTTTGGGTTAGATCGCGTAAATTTATGCGATCTAACCCAAAAAAAAACCTGTTATGAACAACTGTGTACATTCCGCATGAATTCCTACAGCTGTTAATCCGTAAAATGCTAACACGCGCACATTTAATAATCACAGTAAGCTATAAATATGATATTACAAGTCATCTCAAAACTGATGAAGTCACGGTGGTGTAATGGACAACTTTGTAGAAAGGCAAAGATCCCATCTATAGCCTTAGACTGTTGGTCCAAGTGCTGTTAGCGATCACTTTTGAAGGCCTACACGGCACATGAGGGAGTGGTTTGCAGCGGTATTCATTTGAGGCTGAGTCGAGACGGGGAGGCCCAGGACCCGTTCAGACATTCGTCACCAATGTGGCTATGAGCAGGAATAGAACTCGGGTCACCGGGTTTGTAGCGTGGTGCGCTAACCACTGCACCACCGCTCCCCCCAATCGGTACCATGGATACAGAATCACACCACTGGACGCGCAATTTTATATTCTCTACTGGACAGTGACTCAATAAAAAAAATTACGCAACAGCCACAACAAATTCAATAACGA